CCATGTTAGTAACCAGGCAGGAACTGGTACAGGAACAGTTATAGGAATTGTTATAGGAATTGCTCCAGGAATTGTTATAGGAATTTCTTCAGGAATTGTTATAGGAATTGCTCCAGGAATTGCTCCAGAACCCCGAGCTCACAGAGGGCCCAACGAGAGGAACTCTGCAGCTCAGGATGGTTTCCATCCCCAGCACAGAAATGCTCCCCCAGGGATTTCTGGAGCTCTGCACATCTGGCCAGATGCTGGGAGAGAACTCCTTTCTCTCTCTGCCAGGAGCCAGCTGTGATTTCTCAGGGTTCTGCTCCTCCTGGAGCTTCATACCGACCTTGTGCCTAAAGAGTTTGCTAAAGGTGCTGTGGCCCAGCTTGGGGCTCTCTGCCTTCTTTTTCTTGGCTCCTTTGGAGGGGGATTCTGCCGCTGCCTTCGGGCTCGGCTGCCCCCCTGGGCCCTTCTCCGCCTTGGAGCCCTTGTGCACAACAGCAGGTGCAGGTAAGTTTATTGCAGATATTTTCTTTATCAAAGACATTATTCCATCACTCACACTCATGGGATTGAAGGAAAACATCCCCTCTTAGCCCTGGACAAACTGGGTTTTTTTCTCTGAGTGATTTCTCAGCTCTCCTCAGAGCTTCTTTCACACGAGCAGCAAAATAAAAGCCAAGGCAATCCACCTGATTCCAAAATAAACCACAACTTTCCCTCTATAATCTCCGCTAAACTGAAACCTAATCCCATAAACTTCTGTCTTTTCAAGTAATGAAGAAGCAATTTAGGATTTATAATTTTAAAACAGGCAAATATATAAATCTTCGGAAGAACCTTCAGTCTTTTTATTGCAGGATAATAGGGACTTTAAAATGTTTTATATAAGGTATTATTTAGGAAAAGGGCAGTGTGAATATTCATGATATACATTGCCTAAAATATTTCAAGCTTGCATTAATATCCTTGAAATTAATTAATTGATTGTTCAAGGTCTCAGGCTTTAAAGCAGGAAGATGCCTTTGGTTACCTGGCACGGAGGAGGATGAAGGATTATTCCTTCCTAACTCCCACAGCAAAGCTGACCCTTTTTCCTGCAAAATCCTCACAATTCCCAAACACAGAGTGGCACAGGAGCAGCTCGGGGTCTGCCACAGGAGGACCAGGGCAGTGATTTGGGGCAGACCTTGCCCAAACAACCTCTTGGTTTGTAGGATCTGCCCGAGGAGGTGGAGTGGAGACAGCTGAAGGGACAGCCAGCGAGGGACAGCCAGGGAGGGACAGCCACACACCCTGAGGGACAGCCACACACCTCGAGGGACAGCCACACACCCCAAGGGACAGCCACACACCTCGAGGGACAGCCACACACCCCAAGGGACAGCCACACACACCTCAAGGGACAGCCACACACACCTCAAGGGACAGCCACCCCAGGGGACAGCCACCCCGCAGGTGTGCCCGGCTGCTGGCAGCACATGTGGCCCAGCAGCTGCTCAGAGTCTGATCCTACAAACCCAGAAGGTTCCGTCCCCCCAGAAGGTTCTGGGGCACTGCCCGGGCTCCCCAGGGATCGCTCCCTGCTCCAAAACCTTCCAGCGCTCCAGGAGCGCTTGGACAACGCTCTCGGTGGGATTGTTGGGGGTCTGTGCAGGGCCAGGCCTTGGATGATCCTTGGGATCCCTTCCAGCTCCAGGAAATTCCATGATTCTATGATTTGAAGGCACAGCCGCCACTCAACAGCCCCATGGCACTTGGGAAAACTTCACCTGGTTGTTTACCACCTAATTTTGTTTTATTTTCTATTTTATATCATTATTATTTTCTAATTTTCTAACTTATTATTTTTTAATTTTTCTATTTTATTACCCTAATTTATCAGCTTTACCTTTAACATATTTGAATTGTTTTTTGGGAAATAATAATAAAAAAAAGACCATTATTTTCTATCAGCCAAAAAAATCTGCAGTTTTTCTACCTGGAAGCTGATAAATTAACCTCCTATAGATATTTTCCCTTTATTAAAGTATAAATGCCATATCAGACAAAGGAATTCCCAGTAAAAGAGAGCTCCCACTTAATCTCCTGTAAGGAGTTTGCATATCCTGCGAGTCACCTGGATTTGTTTGCCCTGCCAGGTGTGCCAGCAAACCAAACCCACCCAGAATATTCTGTCCAAGTTACAGCAGCAGTCACCTGGCACAGGTGACACAGACAGGGAAGGGAAGGGGGTGCTTTCCATCCAAGCAGGATTGGGCACCACCTCTGGGAAGAACTGCAAGTTTCCCTGAGCCAAGGAACTTTAATAATCGTATTTTCTGCATAGCTTGGAAAACCTTTACCCTATCTGATGATTTTCAGAGTTATTTGGAATTACTGAGAATAATTTTCAGAGTTATTCAGAATTAAATCTCCCAAGCTTGCTGCAAAGGTTAATCATTGAATGGGACAAAAGAATAAAAAAATAGGAGAAAACCCAAAACTGTTGTGGGTTTGGCTAATATCTACGTGGACAAAACACTTCCATTTTTAGGGTGTAATTCCTTGTTTCCTAAAGTTATTTCAAGGCACAGGGAAAACTGTTCTATGAGCAAATGGAATTTTTTTGCAGACTCAAAGTTTTCACTGAAATTTTACATCAAGGATGAGTCAGAGAAATAACCAAAAGTGTCACAAATCATCACCAAGCTTGCAGAAAACACAACAGATTTTGATTGCAACAGATGATATTAAGAATTGCACTGTTTGGTCTCTTCCTTTTCAATTTATCCAGGGGGAAAAAATGTTTGAAATTATTTCAAATGATGACATCAGTTGGGGAAAAAACAGCAAATAAAGAGGAAATAAATAAAATTTATATTTAAATAAAGAGGAAATCTCTGTGTGAAAAACACCCAATGACCAGTGAACAAGGAACTGCCTACCTTGTCTTCAGAATCACTTTTGGCTTCAGCTTTGCTTGGGGAGACCTTAAAAGAATTAGAGAAGAAACAGTCACTCAACCCAGCCTTTCAAAGGATCAAAAAGATGAGTTTGAAATCAGCAGGTTTTATTTGCACAAAGGGAAAATACAAATATTGCTTGTCTCAAGCAAGAAAATTGATAATGCAAATATTTCTTGAGAATAACATAAAGGCTAAAATGAAAAACGCCTGGATCGAATATTTACTATTTGTGATTATAATAAATTTAAAAAATGAACTTTTAGAGGTGGTACAAAAGGAATATCAAGCAGAAAATCTTTGAGACAGGTAAAGATCTGTGAGTATCTGTGTAGAAGAGAAGTTTGAAGAGCAGGTGGCACTCACCATTCTTCATCCCTCCAATGCCCAGGACAGAGAACATTTTACATTTATTTGTACATAATTTTTGTGTTATTTACACAATTTTTTCAGTCCCACAGGGGATTTTTGGAAGCAATTGAAACAGAAAGAGATGGAAAGGTAAAACTTACCAGTGTTTTGAGGAAGCTCATGACTGAGCCCTGTCCTGCAGCTGCCTGGGGACTGTCCTGCTCTACCTGTGTCCTCCCAGGTGCTGCAGCAGCCGGGCCCTGTTCACCTGCAGAGTCCTGCCCAAGCTCCTTTTGGGTGCACTCATCTATCTCCTAAAAAATAAAAGGGGACAGAGATTGCTCGGTGCCAGCTTGCCCGATTCCCTGTGGAATGCAAAAGTGACTTTTGTGACTTGCTCGGCGTCACAACAGCAATTCCAACCATTCCTGCCCAGCCCACGGCTCAGAACAATCCAGCATTTATCCCTCTCCTTGTCCTCTTTCCTCAGAGATTCAGCGCTTACTGCTGCTTGGGGAGTGTTATTCTCAGCCACTACTAGCACAGGGCGAGTCCCAAACTCCACTTTTCTCTTTTCAAGGCTGAATTTGTGAAAAATGGGAGCAAATGCTGAGATTTTGGCCTTTGCCAGCTCCCTGTTGGAGTGTACCATACAAAGACTGCTTCTGATTCTCTGTTTTGCCACACCAGGAATAATTTTTATCTATCAAACACAAATGTGACACACATTAAAAGAAGGAAAAAGGCAACAAATCAAAGAAATTCCCCTTAGGCAGATGGAGCTGTCTCTTCTCTTCATGGAATTACAGTTCCCAGAGCCCCAAAACGTTTTCCAGTGCTCAAGCACTCACAAGTAGGTAATATTAAGGTACTTGCTTTCCGTTTAGACACCTGGACAAGGGTCTGGTTCTAAAAAAACTGTTCTTTAACCAGTTTTGGAGAGTTTGGCACCTCTCACACTGAATTTACCTTCCACTTTGGCCATCTTTGCCTTGTGGCTGCACAGGAAAACTCAGCAAAAGTGCTGTGCAGCAGAGAGTGACATCAAAGAGTGCCAGAGTGACATCAAACGTTTTTTCCCTCACCAACCCATTATAGCTCAGTGCTTTTTTTGGTGGGGAAAATTAGAATAAAAGCGTTCTAAAGAACCTTTCCCTGTGCTGGGTGATTAAAACACCACAATAATTTTATAATATAAATTTCTTTATATCACCAGTGGAAGGAATAGACTTTAAAGCTTCAGAGGGATGAGGAGAGCTAGGTGTGGGGTGGGCAGAGCCAAGAGAACACAGGAGTTAAAGTGAACATTGAAATACCAGCAGGGACTTGTGTGTAATTCCCCACGCAGCGAGGTTTCCAGCTGGCCCAGGAAGCAGCAGAGCAGTGCTGGAATGCTCAGCAGCTACTGAAGGGTGTCACACAGCACTTTGTGCAGCTGCCAGCCCCTGAGTGGCCCCAGAACAATCTGTCCCATGCAGGGCACGCGTGGCCACGCCAGCCCAGGGGTGCCATCCACACAGCTCTGGTGCTGTGGAAAAGGCTGGCTCTGGTCCAGGTGTTAAAGGGACAACTGAGGCAGGAGAAGGAGGAGCAGGCTGATGTGCTGCTAAACAGAACCAGCTTCCCAAGTGCTTGGTGCCATCAAACTCTTTGGAGCTGGATGCTATCAAGAAAAAGAAACAGATTTAATAACCTTTTTGACTTACAGAAAAGGCCAAGGCTGGGTTTGGGATGCACTTCAGGAGAGAGCTGTAAACAGCTGTTTCCAGCACCACTGGCTGATCCAGGACATCTCCCTGACAAAGTCACACTGAAGAGAAATCCTGATTACTGGGGCCATCCCAAAATCCCTGAACAACCTCGCTGCTCAGGTGTGCCCCATTGGATGTGCCCATTTCAGTGTACACTTTAACTCCTGCGTTCTGTTGGCACTGCCCACCTCACACCCAGCCCTCCTCATCCCTCTGAAGTTTTAAAGCATTTAAAGTCAATTCCTTCCAGTGGTGACATAAAGAAATCCATATTATAAGATTATTGTGGTATTTTAATCATCCAGGACACAGAAAGGTTCTTTAGAATGCTTTTATTCTAATTTTTCCCATTAAAAATGTCCCTGCCCTGCTCGAGGATCCCCCTTTGTGATTTCCAAGCCGAGGCTACAGAGAATCACTCAAATCTGGCCTTGGAGAGGGGCTGTGATCCATCCTGTGCTCCCATGGGAATACTCCTGCAGGAGGAGCACAGGCTCTGGCCACCAGCACAGAAATCGGACACAGACAATGCACAGCCCTACACGATCACTTAGCACAAAACCACCACAAAAGCCTCTGTGGCAGCTCCCTGCTCAAAGCCCTGGGGGTAAATAATGAAAGAAACCCCAGGAATAACAGAAGATCAGTATTAGGAGTTAATAGATGCCATGTAAATGTTCAATTCATGTCTTTGAGAAGCTAAATTTTGGGGTAATAAACACCTTAAATATACTGTAGTTTCAGTTCAGTCATCAGGGAAAAAAAACAACCCCAAACATATCAAAAGAATGTATTCCTGCCAGCACTTTTGTTTGCATGAATCATGGCTCAGTGAAACATTTCAGGCATATAATTTATCTTTTCTTTGGCTTACATAGTAAATGCTTCATGAATTCATGAATTCTGCCCTTGTTTTAATTATGCTGTGCTCTGAATGTAGTTTTGTAGACCACAAAAATAAAGAGTGGCTCAGCAAACACAGAATGTTTGTGCAGCTCTTAAGCTACAACTGTGGAGCCTCTCTCTTACTCACCAGCAACGCTGTTTGTTTTGTCTTGGCACTCAGTGCAGGGAAACTTTGCTTTTAGCATTTACAGATACTACAAGTCATAATCCACAAAGAGAAAAAAAGAGAGAGAGAGAAAAAAAAGGAGCTGTTGGCAGCGATATCTTGATTTTTAGTATGATTATTTGGTAACAGTTTGTAGTTACTAGAGTAACAGTAATTAAATTAGGCTTGGTCATTCTCCCATCCAACAAGAGAATTGGGACTTCAGAGGGAACAGAAGGCAACTGTGGTGCAAGGCAGAGCAACAGCCTTTGTTTTAAGGATTGAGTTAAATTTGGCAACACATTGCAGTGTTTAGCTGATGTATTTTCCCCAGAAAAGGTGCTTAACTCCTCTCTGCCCACACCATATATTCATTTTAATATCTGAAGATCCAAAATTATAGCCCAAAAATTCAGGCTTAAGGTTAAAATTCCTCTCCCTGTGATCCAGATCTGTCATTTACTTACAGAGCAACCCCGATTTTGTGAGTCCTCAAAGATTTCCATGGTGCAGCTTTAAGCACACACCTAAGAGATGTAGGGGCATTTTTGATAACCAGACCTGTCCTCAGGAATGTTCCTGGGCTCCAAAAATCTGCTGGGATGCTGCAGATACTCCCAGACAGACCCAACACCAGCCATGGCTCAGCAGTGCCTGGAGTCTCCAGCTTATTCCCTCCAGGATGTGGATGGGTACAAGGGGGCTGGAGCAGAACTGCAAATCAGCAGGAATTATAAGAAATCCAGGTGTTATTGATATAATAAAGGTTGATTTGGATGAGCAGTGCTTCCCTGTTTGAGCTGGGAGAATGATTTCTATTCCTGTCCCTGATCACGCTCATACAGCACTGCCTCACCTGAGCTTTCGACTGCTCCCAGCAATGTCTAACTCTGAATTTTAGCTAAAACTGCTCCAAATTGTTCTTTCACACCATTCCTTCAGCAGCACCAGCTGGGACCTTCCCCACTCTGTAAATGAAAGCAGTGACACTGCAGTGACAGAAAAATAAGAAATGAGGATTTGGCATTTGGTGGGAAAAGAGAAAATTCCTGCAAGCTACGGGGAAGACTTGTATGATAGTCAAAATATCTGCAGGAATTCGGGGTGTTGAAAAGCTTCATTCTAAGAGGCTGAACACAGAAGTGCCAGTGTGCCCTGAACAGAGGATTCATTTCAAATTATCCACCCTGTTCTGCTTAGGTGCTGAATGCCTTTATGGATTCTTTAAATGTGCATCCTGAGCCATCTGAAACACCAGTGATGGGAGCACTCCTGAAGGGCAGGCGTGAAAAATGAGACTGTTTTTTTCTTAAAAATGAAGCTCAGAAAAATATTACAATGGGTAAATTTGTACAAGAAAATCTTCAAATCTGAGAAGGTCGACAATAGAGAAGACAAGGTAGGTTAAAATTAAAAGAATTTTGGGACAACTTGCAATGCTGGCAGTGTAAGCAGGGAGTATCTCATGAGTTAAGTTCAACACTACCCAAGGCATCAGTGAGCACAATCTTATTTGTAAGCCTGAATTGGCCAATACAAGCAGTTGTTATTAAAATGATATTTACATATAGATTTTTCCCTCCCACTTCTGCCATTGGACAGGGTTTCAATTTGATCCCCAATTCCTGTATTTCGCTTCTCTCGCAGAACTCAGAGTTACACCAGTATTCCCTTCCAGAGGATAGGCTTTTTCTGTAGTTAATTCCCTAAACATTAATTTTATTACACCCTTGCTGACATCAGACTCAGCAGGAAGTACAAAATCTAAAGTTGTATTGACTTTCAGCTCCTTTGACCAGAGTGCTCTTTCAGTTAAGATCCGTAGTTTCTTCTATCACATTCTCATCCTGTAAAATCATTTCCAATGAACCACTTTTCTTTGACTGAAACATCACAGTAAGTGAGTACAGGAATTACTGCTGCATAATATTCCTTATTTTGATGAATAAGATATCCAGCATCTATTGCTCGTGAAGTAGGACTGTTTTAAAAATGGCACAAAACACACCAAAGAACTTTTAGAAAACCATCCCGTGTCAAACTCCAAGGTCTTAAAGCACAAGAAACTGTTTTAGTTTCAGGTATTTTGGTTTCATTTGCAGCTGGCAGTTGGAGCTGTGTTGCCCAAACCTTTCAGGCAATTATAAATTAAATTAAACTGGAGGTCAGCATTTAGTCATGAGACAGAGCTTCACTCCTTGGCCACAGGTTCGTCTTCCACACCTCTGTCTGGTGTTACCTGTGGTCACTTTAAAGGCAACACTGTTTCATTCCCAGCCCCACATGGAGTTATGCCACTCTGCCATTTCTCAGAGGTTTCATTAGTGAAAATGAAATTAATGGATATTTTATGGAAGCACTTGCCTCGTCCAGCGGGATCCCGTCAGGTACGCCGGCCGCGGTGTTCCCGTTGGGAACGTCCAAGCCCTGCCTTCCCTCCTGAGGGTCACCTCGTGTCCTTCCCTTGCCCTTCTCCGGCCTGAAGATCCTGTCGAAGAGCGTCACTGCTTTGGCCTTTGGGGCGGCCACATCGTGTCCCTCAGGTGTCCCCTCGAGCTCGACGTCCTGGAGCGGGGCCTGGCCCAGGTTTATATGGCTTCCCTCCTGAGCCTCAGCCGCCCCAGGCCCCTCTGCGCCCTCACTGGGACCTTTGTTCAGCCCGGTGGCATCGGGAGCGGGCTGTGCGGGGGCTGGAGGCTGCGCTGGCTGCTCAGCACGCCCTGGCACAGCCCAGGGAAAGGCGAGCACGGAGCGGGGCCTGGCAGCCGGCTCGGCCCTCCTGGCAGCGCTCCCGCCCGCCCGGGCAGCGCCGCGCTGCTCCGCTGGCTCCGCCGGGGAAACGGCCGCGCTATCCCGTCCAGAACCCGCCTCGGCAGCTGCTGGAACAGAGGGATAAAGGGAATTATCCCACAGCAACGGGGCACCCTCAGCCACGGCCACTCGGGCTGTGGTGAGCTGGTCCTGATGTGTGGAAGAGCACACGCAGGACCCCGGTGCTGCTGCTCATCCCTCAGAGCTGATTGTTGCTCCCCTGCCATCCCTCACTGAAATCAGTGCAAATTTTCCTCTCTGCTCATCCCTCAGAGCTGATTGTTGCTCCCCTGCCATCCCTCACTGAAATCAGTGCAAATTTTCGCCTCTGCTCATCCCTCAGAGCTGATTGTTGCTCCCCTGACACCCCTCACTGAAATCAGTGCAAATTTTCCCCTCTTCACACCCCCCTCACAGTGTCAAAGTCAGCTACCAGCCCCATTTGGCACTACTCAGCCCAGTGAACAGCAAATTAAAATTAGTGACATGCAAAAAAACCCATCCCAGTAAAACCTGAGACAGTTATATATGAATATATCACCCTCTCCTCTTTCAAAGTTAAAGAAACAAAAGCAGTGGCAAGCACCAGGATTGATCCCATTTCCTGGCTCGCCAAACTCCCAGCAGGGCTGTGCTGTCAGAACTGATTCCATGCATTTCTCCTGGCCTTCTGCCTCAGTGCAGCTCCTACCTGCACTTCTCCTTTGCCTGCAGTTCTTTTCAGCCTGATTTGAACACTGATAAATCACATCCAAGCCAGGTTTCTTACCCTTACATTTCCCTTTACAATTCTTCTCTTTACCCACAAACTGTGGCTAAAGATCACATTTCCTCCCCCAAAATTCACACAAATCATTCAGTGTGTACACATGATCATCACACCTTAGGTGCAAAGGCCCTTTTGATTTAAAAGTGTGTTTTATGATTTTATAAAACAATGGTGCTCTGGTAACACAGTTGAGGTGAAAATCCCTGGTATGGGATGCACAGACAGGAAAAGGCAGCTCCTGCTTTACACGAGACAAAAGAAACAAGAGATAAAAGGAAAATAATCTTGCTTGGATCTGTTTTGTGGCTGGGAGGCAGAAGCACACATGATGTGGTGTGAAACCCCAATAAAAAAGGGTCTTGTTGAGAGGTAAATCTTACAGCTCCCCCCGAGCTTCAGCTTCTCTTCCCTACTTGGACTGGAATATGGATTTGATTTCCCTGTCAGTCATCACCACATTTCAAGGATGAATTTAGATCTATTTAATTATAACTGTGGAAAACTGACAGGCTCAAACCAACTTGCTGAATTAGAGCGGGAAAATTGTCAGTTTCAATGCAAAATTGAAACGATTTAAAATTATAATTGTAATAGTCTAGTCAATATTATGCCTTCCACATTTTCCTTTAAGATAAAGAAAACCCCAGATACCAAAAAAACCTGACTGAAACTTGTCTTCCACACAACACAGATCTTCAGTTTGAAATTCTTTGAGATCAGGAAAACAGAACAATTTTAGATCCCAACTTTCAAAGCTACCCCTTGGCTTTTCACAGCAAAATTCCCCCAGCTTCCCACCTCCCCAAGGATTCTAGATAATGCCATAAAACATCAGCAGGTCCTGGGCTGATTTTATCCATCAGCTTCTGACCTTCCGTGGCAGCACCCAGGGATCCTGGGCACATCCAACAGCAGAACCGAGCCCAGGGCCCAGCCAGGAGATTCCTTTTTCCACAGCCCTCATTCCATGGCTTTGTGTAACAGATAAGAAATGAACCCCAGGAAAACTGGCTGCAGCATAAAAAGAGGGATAGAAGCTCAGCGTTAAGAAAACCAGTTCCAGTTCAGGAACCCATGGAGCTTCCTTTAATCTCTGATTATCATGGAAGGAATGGAAGCCCTGGAAAATGTCACTGCCATGGGCTGTGCGTGTGCTGTGTCAGCTCCAGCTGCTCCAAGGAAAGCCAGAGGCAGAGCAGATCCCACCACCAGCGCTGGGCTGGGCTTGCTGAACAGGCACAGCAAACTCAGGGGGAGAACCCTTGAAATTCTGGTATTTGGGTGAAAAGTGCGTGATATTTTTGTTTCTAAAGACACTCAAGTGCCATTTTTTCCAGGTTTATTCCTCAATCCTGAGGCAGAATAGCAAAGATAAGCAAAACCCCCCAAATTCTAGGCCAGGTCTTTGAGCAGATCAAAGCTGCTCGTTGTGACTGAGATTAAAGCTGCTCTGAAATGAAAATCAATACACAATTTACAGACTGCATTTCAGGCTCCTCCTGCTCGGGCATTTGCCTTTCAACTCTTTAACAAAAGACAGTCACACTCCAGAAGATTTGTCTCTCTTTCCCCTTCTCTTCACCAGGGTGTGTTAAAAAGGAAATTTTGTGGCTACACAAAGTCCCTCTTCTATTAGAGCACACTCAAGAAGATTTTTTTTCTGGAATTTGACAAATTAGACCAATGTTTTCTTCTTGACTTAAGGAAAAAAATAGAGAAGAACAATGGTTAATGAAATATCACAAAGTCATGGAATGGTTTGGGTTGGAAGAGACCTTAAAGCTCATCTCATTCCTCTATTTTGAGTACAAGCCAGCCACAAACAGATATTTTCCTTAGCCGTGGAACTAGAGCCACACAGCACTTTTTTCTCTCCTGGTGTTCAGGTAATTGTGAAGAAAATATTTTAATGGTCATGAAGAAACCATTAATGGCTACAAGGCAACATTTGGCACCAGGAATTGCAGCAGTGCAGGGCAGCAAGGAGTACAACAGCCCTGAATGAATTTCTGCAGCCAATACTAATCCAAAATAAAACATTCCTCCTTCCTTAAAAAAAAAATGAAGGAACAAACTAATATCCTTTTGCCATCTTACTCCACTATTCCATTCAAATAATTTTTATGCTCCAAGAATCATCTTGTTTCACTAATTTAACTTGCATTGTTATTTACCTACAGATTCCCTGAAATTAATGGAGCTAGGGGGAGAGCAGCCAGCAGCAGTAAGAGCAATGATCATTCCCTAAAAACATTCCTGAGATAATTCACATTTCAGGCCTTCCAGGCACACGGAGCTGCTGCAGTCAGGATTTCTGCTGGGTTCTGGTTGCTACAAGGCAACATTTGGCACCAAGAATTCCAGCAGTGCAGACCAGCACAGTGGGTACAACTGCCCTAAATGAATTTCTGCAGCTAATACTAATCCAAAATAAAACATTGCCCCTGTCTTTAAAGAAAATCAAGTCCACACTAATATTCTTTAGCCATCTCGCTCCGTGCAAATAAAGTTTATGCTCCAAGAAGCATCTTGCTTCACTAATTAAATTGTGTTGTTATTTACCTCCAGATTTCCAGAAATTAATGGAAATAGGAGGAGAGCAGCCAGCAGCAAGAATAGCAACGATCATTCCCTAAAACCATCCCTGGAATCCTTCACATTCCAGGCCTTCCAGGCACACAGGGCTGCTGCAATCAGGGTTTCTGCTGGGTTCTGGCTGCAAGCTGCATTTGCTGAATGGGATTTATCCTCTGTGACAAAGGAACTGCATCTTCACTCAACCTTTCTTCTTTGTAACCTTTTTAACTCCTTTGTAATTCTTTTTAGGAGCAGGTTGTTGTTTCAATCTGCATGGAATTACCACCCAAATCCCACATTGAATTGTTCCTGTTTTGTCCTCCTGCTGCATTTCTGCTCTGTGTAGTTCCAGTCAGAGACAGAAAACTCCAGTTCCGACCTCCCCTCTTCACCTGCTGCTCACCAAGTGCTTTTATTACTGAAAGTACGAAAAGGTTTCCTTTTCTCAGCCCTAGCTCCCCCAAAATCCTCACTTTACCCCCCAAAAATGCTATTTATTGCAGTATTTAGTTTTAGAAATGCTATAAACATTTTTTTTCCATAGTAATAACTCCCATCACTTTTATTTCTCCAAAACCTTGATTACATTGCACAAAAGTGGAGATTTCAATTGTATCTCAATGATTTTAACTTCTTTTCAAACAGGAAAAAAGTAAAAATACAAGAAACATCAACACAGAAATGTCTAATTTTTCAACTTGCTACTTAAACTGATTTAGCAATTACATTAATTAGGTAATCTGTTTAAGTAAAGCAGACCCATATGCTTCATTTTACGTATGAGGAATAAAATGTACATGTATTTTCTACGTCTTCAGGCAGTGTAAATCATCTGGCTTTTATTTCCTCCTCAGAACTCTGCTGGTTTACACCAGAAAAAAACACAGAGAGAGAGAGAGGCTTTTCTAGTAGGCAGCTGCTTAAAGTGACTTATGGTGGGATGGCACTGGGAAATTTGGGCCATGGAACAGGAGCTGAGCTCTTATCAGAACCATCTGCACATCCCCACACCAGCCTTTGACTATTTTTACCTAAATTTAGATTTTTCAAGCGCCTGTGACAGACTGAGAGGGCTCTCTTAACAACATATCATAAAATGTTTTTCTCAGCGTTGAATTAGAAAGTATTTTCTTTCCTTATAAGATGGAAGAGGGATCGTTTGGCTTTATTTATTCTGAAAATTAAAGAAGCTGCAGAGACAATGAGAGTGGCTGAATTTCAGAGCTGGGAGCAGGGGTGGTGCAGCTGCTCAGAAAAGCTCCAAAGCCAACAAGGGCTGGGAGGAGGAATTCAGGAGGTGCTGAAAACAAGAGGAGCCACGTGGCTGTGGATGAGAGCAATTGCCCTTGAATATGTGGCAAAAACTTCTGTAAACTACTTGGAAAGGAATTTTTCATGCTCAGGGCATGTAGTTCCCGGCAGGATTTGAGGTGGCAGTGGGAAGTGGGGCTCAGCTGCACCCTGGGGGGGTCACCTGCAAACCCAGTCCCCTCTGAGCCCACCCAAACTGGGCTGAAATGGGATCAGCTCACGGAACAAAGCTTTACTCACACCCCACCAACTGCTCTGCACTCACAGCTGCTCCGTAAAAGGGACAGAATTTATTTAATTAGTGTGCAGGGAAAGAATAAATGACTGTGCTTTATTCTAAATTCTCTAGGATTCAAGCTCAGGAGCTGAATTTTGTTAAATTTTGTTAAACAGCTACATTTTGTTAGATGGACCCTGGTCTCTTCAGGAACCTCCAAATGAGAGCAAGGATGGTTTTTGTACATTAAATACTCACTAAGGCCCAGCTCAGGATCAGAAGGGGCCAAATGTAATTCTTATTTAACAACTTCACTGCAGCTTTAATCCCTGCCACTTTCTGGTGTTTTTCCCAGCCAATCACTATTTTTAAATTAAAAACAAGACATAAAAATTTCCCTATATATATTTAATTGTTAATAAATAACTGCTGAGTACCTTTCAAGTGAAAACAATGCCCCTGCTCAAGAAAAGAGAGAATAAGATGGAAATGTTCAGATGGGTAAGGATTCTAACATGAATAAGGCATTTCTAAAACCCCAAACTGCCAAAATCCCCCTGCACTGGTGCTACTGCTGCATTTTGTCCTTTCCAAGAGCCTAAATTTGGCCTCCTTGCAGCAAGAATTCCCCCAAGGCTTGCTGGAGACACAAATTCCAACAGGAATTCCCCCGGAGCCTGGGCAGAGCTTGTCACAAACCCAGCAGGGACCAGCACCAAACCACCCAGCCTGAGGATGCTCCACACAAAGCCCTTCCCTCTGTAAATCCACTTTTTTGGGAGCCAGGGCAGAACCAAATCCCCAGAACTATCAACCAGCTCCCAGAGAACTTTGGGAAGAATTCCTTCTTTTTGTTTTTGTTGTATTTAAACTTTCCAGCTTCAGTAGAACCACATTTACAAGTAAGAGCAGGAACATGGGTACATCCCCTAATTCAAAGCCACCCCCTGATATTAAATATTAATTAATTTAATTTATTATATTAATTTAATTAATATTAAATATTGTTCCTTCAGCACAAACCTCCAACCCCCCTTCCCGGTCCATACCTTCACCATTCACTGCCAGGGGAGGGCTCTGAACAAACACCACAGATCCATTTTTAATACTGTCAGGAGACTCAGAGAGAGCCTGAAATAACAAAGAACAGAGCCAAAGGGGTGAAAACGGCAGTGGCAGCAGCCAGGGGAGGTGGGAGTGGGATTTCTCACCTGGTAACTCTTCACTGTGCAGGTTTTGTCATCCTCAGCTTCCTCTGGCACACTCAGGGTATTCCCCATTTTCCTGGGAGGTGGAGAGAAAAACCCCAAATAACCCTTTTTTTGTCATTGAGATGAATGCACTGCCTAATTCCAGTTAACAGCCAGCCAATGGGTTCAGGCTGTAAAAATCCCTAAAGTCCCACCTGCCTTCCCAAGACACCTGCCCCATCCCCTTGTGCTCAGGGCTCCCAGCTGCTCCCCAAAAATGGCACAAAGCAACAAACTTTTCTGGTTTGTGGAGGCAAACTGGCTGCAGTCACACCTGCAGCGCTCCTCAGGGCTCAGGAGAGAGCAGCAGAACAAGGCTGAAATCTGTGCAGAAATTACAACAGCCTCTGTGCTTTTGTTTGGCTTTTATTTAATAAAAGAGAGAGGAAAAGAGGCAGCGTGGAAAGGCACCACACATGGAAACTCTGAACTGCAGCCTGTGTACAAATTCACAGAAATCTTCTGGGGGTTTGCTTTGTTTCTCTTTTCTTCCTAATTTCAAATGCATTTTCGCTAAAAATGGGAAAACTTGCTACACAACACTAAACATAATCCCCAAACACCAAAGCCTGTTCTCTGCTGTGCACATGGAACAGAGCAGCTGTGGCTTCTCCATCCCTGGCAGTGCCAAGGCCAGGTTGGGCAGGGCTTGGAGCAGACTGGGACAGTGGAAATGTCCCTGCCATGGCAGAGGTGGCACTGGGTGGGCTTTGAGGTCCCTTCCACCCCTCTATGATACAGAAAATACCCATGTGCGCTATTCTGCCCTATTTTAAGGAAAAATGACAGGTCAGTGCCACCTAGAGACAGCAGCGATACAAACACAGGATCAGGCTGGCAGCGCTCCCAGCTGGTGTCACAGCCCTGCCCTCCTGCCAGCACAGCTCTGGGACCAGCCCTGGCTCCAGTTGATTGTCCCCGCTGTGCCTGTGCCAAACAACAGCTCCGGCATTCCCAGGCGATGGTTGGCTTTTCCCAAAGCGCTCACGCCTCTGTTTGTACGGTCACACCCGTTTTTCTCTCATCTCATACACCGTGTGTTGAAGATGAAGTTGTTCAATGTGAAGGCAAAGAGGTTGGCTGGGAAATAAAGGAGCTCTCACGGTGTGTTTGTGAATGAGATAATCACGGATAATTGCAGAAGAATTTGGTTGGAAGGGACCCAGTGCAAGCCCTGTCCAGGCAGGGCCACCTGGAGCAGGGGACACAGAGCTCCTCCAGGTGGGTCTGGGGTGTCTCCACGCCCTCCCTGGAGCTGTTCCAGGGCTCTGTGGGAATTTCTTCCTCTTTTCTTGCGAGAGAAAATTTGACAACTTTTATAGAAGACAAATTTTAAGGACTGAGAGGGGAAAAGAGATTATTCTGATACAAGAACATTCTTCAAAATGAGTGGAAAGCCCTTAAAAGTCAGGAGGAGCTGGAGTAATTCCTCTCCTTAGGCTTCCTTTCTAGGTATAGGTTTTTCACCAAGCTCCAAGGATATTGTCCTTGTGGGGGGCTCCCTCAGGCCAGCCAGGATCCAGCCTGACTGGTTCCAAAAGGAACATGAACTACCAGCTTCTACAGCTCTGAAACAATCCCTTTTCCAAATTATGCTTCACTGCTTCCATTGTAAGTGCAGAAAATAATTCAAAAGGAAAATAAACGTATTTTTAATTGGTTTTAATGTTATGTGAACCGTAGTGTGCCAAGTTCAAGGCTTGGGAAAATTCTCCTTTTTCACTCTCTCTCTCTCAAAAATGATTGGTTTGGTCCTGGCAGAATGGTAAAAACTTTGAAAATAGGAGAGAAAATTACAGCAAAATCTATGATCTGCTGAGTACTGCTAAAGGCAGCCAAGCCTCACCTTCCCGATGTATTGACCAGCCTGGAATATTGCAGTCACCCGTGTCTATTAATGCCAAAAGTCCACAATTAATTCCTCACTAAAACTTACCATATGTCATCTTTAAATGTCATATTAAAGAATCCATTTTCCTGCCCTTGGAACCCAGCTGAGCTTGAGGACATGGCCATGTGCAGGTGGCAAAGCAGAATTTTCAGCTGTGATTGGAGTGGAGCGAAGAAAGGGCTGATAATGGGACAGAGTTTAGAAATTCAGCTTACCTGGAGCGCAGCTCTGCCTGGTCCTGCAGGGACAGGCACTGGGACACGTGCTGGGGATGAGGAGAGCAGGGCCAGGTGGCTCCGAGCCCGGGCACAGCTGAGGAGGAGCAGTGGCACAGAGGGACAGCAGAAGGGACAGCAGGAGGAAGGTTTGGGATGAGTCACCTACAGCAAACAAGAAACACCCAAGAACACCTCGAATCCAGCCTGGCAGGGGCTGGGCACGCAGGACGTGCTGCCTCACAGTCCTTAAGGCTCTTGGGACAGTTTTATACAATTCTTTCAGCCACTCCACACTGGAGCCAAGTGGGAAAAGCAAAATAGTTCAAACATTCACGCCCTGGGCTCTCAGGGAGGGGACAGCTCCGCAGTGGCACCAGCTGAACAGTCAATCCTGGCCGGGGGAAAGGCTCTGCCACAAAGCTGGGCTTCCCTTTCTGCTGTCCTCCTGCAGGAAAAGCCAGGACACTGCGGGGACAAAGGCAGAGCAGCTGCTTTAAACACAAATAAAGAAAACGAGACTTGCAGGATCCCAAGATCCTTGAGTAGGAGAGCACAGGCAGCACTGCTGGAGCACAGCAGCCAAAAGCAAACGCAAAAAATGCTTTTGCAAAAGCAAAACCCGGGAAAAGCCAAGCCAGCAGCAGCAGAGCTGCACATTAGGGAAGGAAGGATGTGAAGGATATGAAGGATATGGAGGATATGGAGGATATGGAGGAGTTACCTGGGGGAGAGGGGCTGGGACAGCCTCTGGGAGCCGGAGCTGATCCAGGTGAGGTGCTGCTCACCCAGCCCCGACAGTTCTGTCCCTGCTGTGTCCCTGTCCCTGCTGTGTCCCTGCTGTGTCCCACAGTCAGCCCAGGGAGTGCTCACAAACACTGGGTGCAAACACAGCCAGGGTGGAGCAGCCCCGTGCCCCTCCCCAGCCCACTCCAGGTGCTTTCTGCTCTCTCTGGTCACCCCAGCCTGCTCCGAGGCACCTCTGGATCCCTGGCTCTGGGGTCCCTCACTGCTTTGGGAATGGTGACATCGTGCTGGACACCCACCAGCCCCTTCCCAACGTGGACTTTTCCCAGAATGCAGAACAAGCCCGAAGTTCTCTTAGTGGCAGGACTGTTTGCTGTTGCCAGCGTGGCTCCTAATCCCCCTGCAGAGTGTGCAGACTGACTGAGTGGTGACATTTTAAAGCCACTGTCACAATTTGCTGCTCCCTCAGGTGAGTCATGGAGCCCACGCTCACACTGGGGGTGTCTGCAGCAGGGAGAGCTTTTCCTTCTCAGTTTTCACAGCACCTCAGTCAGCAAAACCTGGCTTTGGAAAGTGAGGCTTCCACAGGCAGTCAAAATACCAAGAAAAAATTCCCAGTTTTATGGTTTGAAAGGAACAGCATCACAATCTCTGGGATCTGTTTCCCGATTCCAGCTGGCGCTATTATTTCAGAGTTGCTTTATGGGTTTGGGTTTAATTTTGTTATTAATCATGAAAAAGAAAGGAGAACGGATTTGTCATGAGGGTTGTGCTGGCTGTGGAGGCTGTCAGGTGTTTCAGGGGTGATGAGGAACCTGCAAGGCTGGAAACAGAGCAGGAATCTGCATCCAGAGCCTCAGCAGGGTGTGGGAAGGGAGGGGATATCCTGATTCCCTCATTTCTTCCAGCACTGGGTCAAGCATCTTCCTCATTTTCTCCTTGGTGTAAATTCCTGTCTGCTACAAGCTCAGGTGATATCCCATGAGTTCAGTCTCAAAATTCCATCCAGAGATGGTGTATGAGTTATGAATGGTTTCTGGATTGTTCATGTAGGGACAGAACTTATCCCTGGGCTGAGGTACAAAATTCCAGCCTGGCTGTGAAACCAACCACCCATGCAATAATGCTGGACTAATTGTCCTTTTTATCTTTATTTTTTGGTCATTCTCCCCTGGTTAAAATATTATCATGAAGTGATTTTGAAATGCAAAATGTAAATACTCAATTCAGAAATGCTTCATTTCTGTAAGAGAAGGTCATTACACTCACTCTAAGTTTGCACCATATTTCACCTTCCGTGGTTCTGTTTGCTCCTCAAATGTCTTCAAATTCGGCCTCAAAACCTTGATGTTCATCACGAAGGAAGTAATTTGGATTATCATGTCCTTCACCTGTGAATATAAGAATAACAGTGCTCCTTTTCCTCAGAGAAAAGCTTTTTCTTGATCTGAGCCATCACCTTGAGCCTTATCCTGATTCATTTTTCCCAGTTGTGTGGACAATGAACCATCCATTCTTTGAGGTGTCTTTCAACTCTTTAATATTCTTTTCCAGTAATTTCAAAGCCATCTCATGTTTTCATCAAGGACAGGTCAGAGGGGCACACTATGAGTTTTGTTTTACCAAACTGGGAATTATTTAGTTGTGTGGCAGCCAGAGAAAATCTTCTCCAAAGCAAAGGAAACTGCTGCTTTCATAATTTTTCAGCACCCAAAATGCTATTTTTTTCTTTCTAAAAATCTCCAATGAAGCTGTCACCAAATAAATCTTCCTCCCCTGCAGGAAATGCTCAGCTCGTGCATCTGACAGCTGCACAAAACTTCCTGTTCATGAATGGCACAGAGCTCCCAACAATTATCAATGATTAACCAGCTTCTTTTATGACTGTCCAGAACGAGAGCCAAGAGCATTCAAATATTGACAATGGAGGAGCAGATGACTCCTGGGCTATATTTGCATGTGTTTTTGGCACACGTGGGCTGGAGGGGGCTGCTGTGTGGGTTGGAGGTGAGGGTTTCCATCTGGCTGCTGCTGTCAAGGTTCATTCAGCAGAGCACGAGGGATGAGCAGCAAAACGAGGAAAGGGAGGACAGAAGGAACCTGCAGGAGAACAGCTGAGCAAAAAGCAAAATTAGGCATAACTCCAGTGGAATTCTGGCAGTTTGGAGCAAAATATAAATGAGGTTTTGACTCAGCTTTGATGTTTCACTCCAAGGAGGACGGATGGACTGAATCACTGATTCTTTCAGATGAGAGAGCCCAACATTTGCATGGATTGATGGATCCTGGATCCCCAGCAGGGAGAGCCAAGGGAGCCACCTGAATCCCAGATCCAGCCCAGCCCTTGGGCCTCTGAGATCCCCAGGGTTTGGTCCTTCATGTGGGGCTGCATTCCTAAAACCCTAAGTGACACCTCTGAGGGTCACCCTGGCAGCTCAACCCGCTTGGAGTAGGTTTCCAAAAAATCAGAGGCAGCGCAGTGACCGATGCTGTTACACAGCTGGGGCTCAGACCCCAACACAAGGTGCTGGCACTCCTGAATTCCTGATATCCCTTACAAAATCCACAGTCCTTGGGACAGACATGAGCTGGAAAGCTGGTGCAGATGTGGAGTCATCCCCATCACCCCAGCACCACGAACATCCTCCTCTTTGGGGGAGCAGGTGCTGCTGTGAACTGAGAAAGGAAAGCACATCTGAATTCACGCTCCTGCAAACCTGAAAAGCCTGGCTCAGAGCTCCAGGGAAAACTGTTTCTGTTTAAGTTCTGCTTAAGTTCTAGGCTTTATTGGATCTGGCTCCTTTACAGCTGGTGGCTCCTGGTGGCTGCCCCAGAGTTATGTTTTCAGCAAGTCGGATTTCCCCGCTGGCTCTGAGCTCCCATTAATGGTTGGATCTGTCTTGCGTTTCACCAATGTGGTCTGACTGGGTAGTGAAAAGGAGAGAATAATTGCTGCAGTGCAGGAGCTCTGGGGAAGCAGCACCATCCCTAATTGTTACCATGCTGCCCGTGCCTCTCAGCAGGCCCTGGCTGAAGCTGCAGCCCGTTCCTGTGGTCTGCCCCTGCAGCAGCTCCACCAAACCCGGAGGAATCCCTGCAGATCCGCGCCGGGGTGGGAGCAGCCTCTGGCTCACATGCTCCAGCTGGAGCTCAATGGGAAACATTCCCTCATTCTGCTTCCCAGAGATGCCTGAACAGCGTTTCTAAATGCTATTTCAGCCTCGAGTTCCTGCAGACTGTGAGTCACGGTGTTGATGTGGGGAGGGAGCTGCTGATCCAATTGTCTCTTCTTCCCCCATCACAAACCCCCCCCAGGTTCCTGCTGCCACTATTTTATTTTTCAAAGAGGGAGAATTACAGACTCTACACCAGCTATTTCTCCATGTGGGAGCTTCTAGAACAGATAAAGGTTCCTGTGTCAGGATTGAGACAGAGAGTTATTGTAGACGTGGTGCCTCAGTGGGTGGAACAGGCATTTGAACCACAATTACTCTCCTGTAGGAGCATTTTAAGTCTCTATCAAATATGCAGCGATGATAACAATACTATGTTAAATATTCACCTCCTTCATGCAAGTCCTTCCTTCTGGGTCATGACTTTCCCCAGCTGGCTCTGCTTTGAACCCCCTGGCACTGCTTTCCCCTGTCAGTGCTTCACCCTTCCCCTTCCCAAGCCTGAAATACGGAAAATTTGAGGAGCTACAGCTACTACAAAGAAGAAGGAGTGAAAAAAAGCCTTGTAAACTCTGTATTTAATTCCTGCCTTTGGTGAGGAAACAGCAGGCGCATGAGCATGGACCTGCAGCAGGGAAAGTGATGATTTTTGGGGGGATTTTTGTGGATCAGGTGTAGGATGTTCTCCTGTCCTGAGGAGGAGCCAGGCATGAGGCTGAGCCTGCTCTGATGGATGTGCAGAGCTGGGAACAGCAGAGTCCCCACAGCCAGGTTTGTCCTGGCAGGTTCCTGGTGTCAGCTGGACACGGGTGAAGCGGTGTCCACACTCCTGCCCTTCTGCCAGGTGCTGGTTTGAGACCTTTGTTTCCCCACCCTGGTGGCTTTGGGCTGAGGGAAAAGTCAAAATTTTATTCTATTTTGTGTGCACTTCTCCCAAGAAAAGACCTCGATGGCCTCAGTGCACCTTGTCCCTGTCTGCTCACCGGGATCACCTGGGAGAAGGGTCCCTGCAATTCCAGCTGTGAATTCCTGCAGCTGCCCCACAGAACAGGGTTAAAGCTCCTCCTCACACAGGGGCACCCCTCAGGTCACTGCAGCATCAGGGCAGCTGCAGCCAGATTTTCTCCCTGGAGAAATACGATTTGCTA